CCCCCGCTTTTGGTAAGCTATATTTAGGTTACATTCATCTTTTAACAGCCTATCGAATCATACAACATAAAGGTTATCAAGTTTCAACTGTCTAGACTTAAAGACTTGATTCAACAATTCGAGACTAGAGACACAAAAGTTGAGAGCAAAGCATGGCACGAACCCGTGGCACGCCGAGTATTTTACACCTTAGCAAAATCCTACAAGGTTGTGTAAAACACAGGAAAGAACGAGAAGCATTACCAGAGGCCGTAAACATGTCAGATGGGGTTAACCTGGTAACAGGAAGAAATGGCAGGCGACGTTTACCTTTGCCGTGCCTCTCAAGTAAGGATCTGTATTACCTTAGCTAAGACTACTAAAGAGGCCAGGTACGCACAGCTTTGCGTCTTCTCTCCCCCACCGCAAGACCGTCCTAAATTCACATCATGACTGCAACAACCCCGAAGAGAACGAGACCTAGAATCTAGATCTATTCTGGATTTCTAGATCTCTAGATCAACTAAAGTTCAAAGACTCATTTTCCTACTAAAATCCGTCAAAGGCAAATGCATAGAGCAAAACCTGAAACGAAAACACCCGTCTTACGCAGGAGAACCTGTGCTCTGCGGACAGCTAGATGTGTAACCCATCTTGAAAAGCAGGTTCACAGAACTACACACAACACACACCACCGAACAACGGTTCGATCGAACACATGCACACAAGCACACTGTCGACACTGATCATTGCTTGGATTTAGCTAACGGAGTTATAATCATGAATAAACAATGACCACAATATACTCACCTGACATGAACAGAGCGCCTAGAAGTATCAGTAAATATCCAATGGAGATTGTAGCGAGCGATCGTGGCTTATGGTAGCCACAGGGACCCATACCCTTCCATGCAGCTAGGCTAGGCGGGCCCTTCGCCGCTCGGCTCGACTGGCTAGCCTTTTCTCTGTGGACGGTAAAACACAACGCACCATAAGCCATCAGCCATTTTGAACAGTCACAAAAGTATGTTTCATCCAGTGTCCCGCATCCTTACTAATGAAATCACAACGCACTAATCCACAGAACACAACAACAAAGAAGAACAAGCCAACGCTCCAAAGTGTGTTGCTATCCTGTTTTCACCCGCGTAGCACTGCGCTGCGTGTGTGCGTGTGTGCTGGCCCCGAACTATCGCGGCTTGTGTCCCGGGGAGGAAGAGGTGTACAGGAAAAAAAATAGCGGCCCGCGAGACAAGGGGGGCGAGAAATAGGTCAGCGGGCGGGGTTTAGACTCGTCAGCTGTCAATAGAGGTGTTAAACCCGCCCCCAATGCACTATTCCTCTCCGTGTTAGCCCCACTTTGCCTCTATAGTGCACACCGCCAACCGTGAAGGAAACCACGCAAAGCCGACAATGATTGGTTAAAACATAAAGCTTTCACACCTCGAAGTGTACGTCACGTCCTTGACGAGGGAGGCGAGGGAGAGGGGGAATTAGAAAGAGGGAGATAGCTACAATTTTCTGATAAGGAGGAGAAAAGGTTGGAAAAGAAAGAAACGAAGGGGAAAAAAAGACAATGAACGAGTGCAAACGTTGAATCTGGACTTTCTAAAAGAATTGGAATACAGTTAACAGCTGAATTTGCCAAACTAGCTGTCAGTAAGATGAAAATGGACTGCGAATATCTAGATTCTAGAACACGAACATTAAGTTAGCCTACACGATTTCTCTTTTGCTTGCACTTGCAAGCGATGTAG